AGCCTGGTTTTTATCCCTTTGCTCATCAGTCCTCCTTCTCTGCAACTGGGTTCCAGTTCAGTTCCGTGTTTAGCTGTGGCTGTCTGCTTCTGCTTCCATCAGCTGCTGGATGAAGGCTATAGGATGCCATATAAGTTAGTCATCAATCTCATTATCAGGGGAGGTTTTTTAAGGTAGCCTCTCCACTGTTGCTTAGATGGTTAGTTGGTGTCATCCTTGTAGATCTCTGGACATTTCCCTAGTGCCTGATTTCTCTTTAAACCTATAATGGCTCCCTCTCTGATGGTATCTTTTATTTTGCTCTCCTCTATTATTCCCCCTACACAACCTTCCTTCTTCCCTTATGTCCTCATCACCCCCCATTTTCCCCCTTTCTCATTCTCTTAGCTCCGTCTCCCTTGCCCCCATGCTCCCAATTTGCTCAGGAGATCTTGTCCCTTTCCCCTTCGACAGGGGAATTACTGGATTTCATTCCTCAAATTTGCAGTGTCTGGAGTAAAAAGACTAGAGGAGGATTGGGGAATGTAGCTCAGGAGCAGAGTGTGTAATCAAGGCCCTCAGTACCACCAAACCCGGCAAAAAAGCATTCTTGTCTCTGACTAGCTGTCCCTTTGTTTCACATCTAGGATTTCTCACGTGTCCTGGCATATAGTGTTCAGATAGCCTTTAAACCCTTCATTTCTTGTTATGATTTTGTTCCTCTGACCTGGTGCCAAATGACCTATTCTTCATATTCATCAGTTCTCACTTGTCTGATGAAGTTTGCTGTTGAATTGAAGGGACCAGCTCCCCATTTCGGCAGCCATAACAGCCGAGCACGCACTTGCCTGACCTTGTCTTGGTCACTAAGGTCAGATGCCTGCCCCTTTCGGCAGCCATGACAGTAACACGTGCTTTTCTGACCTTGCCTTGGTCACTAGAGGTTAGGTGCCTGCCTCGTGGCAAGGAACCAATCAGAAGTTAGCTGGTGGTGGTATGCTTTAAGGCTCTGGGTGTGCTATACTGACAAGCGCACAGCAATGACGCACAGAGCATAGCAACCACCTACGGGCCATAACAACCAGTTGGCCAATCAACACAGGGCAAGCCCTCCAAGCCTGGAGGCACACCAATCCTGAGCCTATGCGTATCCCTAGACACTCCCCTTATGCTGCCCTGTAAGATCTCTATGCAGCCGCTTTGAGCTGTCTTTCTTTGTTAGCCATCCACCATGGCAGGTGGGTGAAAGACCCGAGCTAACATAGGGTTAACTCATTAAACAGCAATAAAGCCTCGTGCTGTTTGCATCAAGCTTTCGCCTCCGCCTGGTGATTGGGGTGACCTCGGTCCTGGGCTGAGATCCTGGAAGCCTGAGCTTTCCGGGGGTCTTACAGAATTCCTCTTGGGAATTTTCCACTTGCTCTGTGCCCCAAGATGGCCTCAAACTTACTCAGGGTGCTCCTGCAGCACCACCAAGTAGTGGGGTATTTTTCAGTTCTAGAATTTGTTTGGTTCCTTTGTGCAGTTTTTCACTGTTGACATTTAAATAATTTTCCTGATTTTACACAGTTGTCTGTAACACGTTTTAATTCCTCATAAGGAATTTACTTACCTGGCTCTATTTTCTTTTTTAGACTGGGTCTCACTATGTAGCTCTGGTTGACCTGGAACTTGATCTAAAGACCAGGCTGGCCTTGAACCCTCAGATAGATATCTGCCTTCCTCTGCTCCTCAAGCGCTGGGATAAAAGGCATGCCCTGTAGTGATATTTTGTTTGTAATTTAACAAATAAAGCCTGCCTGAAGATCATCCTGCAAAGCTAAATCACTAGTTAGTCACAGAGGACAGGCATTGGTGGCCATACCTTTAATCCCAGCACTTGGGAGACAGGCAGATGGATCTCTGTGAGTTCAAGGTCATCCTGGGTTACATGAAAGTGAATCAGTCTAAAAGAGAAACAGAGCTCACACCTTTGATCCTAGCACTTGGGATGGCACACCTTCAATCCCACCACTAGAGAGGAATATAAGGCAGGGACTCAGTGCAGTCTCAGTGAGTCTGAGGTTTGGTAGAGAGCACTGTGTCTACAGTTGCTCTGAGGACAGGATTGCCACCCTTTGGTCTGAGCTTTGGTAGAGATAAGAACTCTCTAGTGGCTGGCTGCTTTGCTTTTCTTATCTTTAGCTTGAACCCCAATATCTGTCTCTGGGTTTTTATTATTTGTGCTACAGTGCCCCAAATGCCCAGCCTTAAAACTCTTTAGGTTTTGAAGATTTTCTTTGACTGGTACATGGTTCTCTATCCTCTGTATGTGTGGTAGGCTTTTGTTGAGATTGAGACCAGTGAACCTCCCACCCACATGTGACCCAAGCACATCCCGTGCAGATGGGTCAAGCAAACTTGTTAGGGGAGTGAAAAACATGTGGCTTATTATCTCCCATAAACAACAGCTTCCAGCATTTCAGGAGCTATTTGTCCTTGAGCAAAGGGCTTGTAGATCAGAGGCATTTTTTGTTTCATGGATCTCTTTGACATAGTAATTAAAACTTAAAATGTAACTTTGGCTCTCACATTCTCTCTCTCATACTATTTATAGATTGGCTTTGTGCAGAAAACCTCCGCTGGTTAGCCTGGCTGGAGGCTCTGGAATATGTGTGTGTTTCTCTCGTCCTCCGTCCTGCTATGTGTGGCTCTTAGAATTGTCTGCACTTCTCTCTGAAGCCCTCCTTTGCTTAGGAGCCATGCAGTTTCCCTGGTACTCGTGGAACTCTCTGGCTGCCCTGCCCCTCTGCCTGCAGAGCTGCAAATCTGTGCTATTATTCTAGCACATTGGCTATTACCTGTTTTCAGCGGCTTCAGAAGCATCTAAACCAGTGGTTCTAAACCTATGAATCATGACATCTTTGGTGGGTGGCACATATCTTGCATATCAGACAGTTATGATTCATGAGAACAATACTACAAACTATGAAGTAGCAACAAAATAATTTTATATTTGGGAGTCACCACAACATGAGGAACTGGATTAAAGAGTTGCAGCATTAGGAAGGTTGAGAACCACTGCTCTAACGATGCCAGTAAGACCCCACCTGGGCTGAGCCAAGTGAGACTAAGGCCAGTCTCAGCAGTCAGACAAGCCAGATGTGAGCAAAAGCTGGTTGTTGCCTGTCCTGAGCAGCAGGCCCTGGGAGGTTTCCCTTCATTCTGGGCTGTGCTGGGAAAGGGGTCTGATGCGTCCCAACCAGTGTTCTTGCAAATTGCTCTTTTCTATGGACGGCTGTCAGTTAACTTAGTCTCTTGCTTGGGGTGGGAATGCATGCCTGCTATCACAGTGTGCAAAGCTCAGGGGCAGGGGGTCACCTGGGCTCCAGAGATCCTGGCCCATGAAGACATGGACCCCACAGCAGACTTCCCTGCTGGCCCTGCTGCTGTCACCCTACCTGTGGCCTTGGCTGTTCCTTGGTACCCACACACACTATACAAAAATGCAAATAGACTTTATGAAATAGTACCTTGATGGAAAATGTACCTCCCCAATAAATTTTATTTATTGATGCATGGACTGTATCAAAATTAATTCTGAATAGGTAAATTATATATTTGTTCTTGGGTTTATAAAGTGTCACTATGTTATGTCTGAAGTTACACCTAAACATGGTAAGCCTGGGATGTTTGGGTCCATCCATATTCATCGTTTGAGATACTTAGCAAGCCTGGCCTAATAAAGTTCCTCCTGGGTACTTGCTTACCACATCTGAGCCCTGGGTTCAATACTTGAGTACTGGGAAAACAAATCCTCTAGTTTTACCAAAAAGTCAGATTTTAAAAATTGAGCCTTAGAAACTCATCCAAGAATCTTTAAAAAAAATTTCCTCTGGCAAAGGGAAGAGTCTTAACAGCCTTGGAGTATGCTTCTTGCCTCAGTTATTTTGGAAACTTGAAAAAATTACACAGAAACATTTGGAATCCTGTGTGTTTAGAGCAGCACCTGAGGTTCTTAGGAAGCATGGAAACGTTAAGTTTTACCAAATACCCCTCCTTCTCGTGTTCTCGTGCGTTTGACTCACTCAAGGTTCAATTTCTGTCTGATTCCCACATGGTAGTAAGCTTCATGGAGTAAATAAGTTCATGCATTTGTGTTCTGTGAACGCCCTCCTGGTCAGAGCTGTTACTGGGAGCACTCTTCTGGTCAGAAGTGCTACTAGAAACCTTTTGTTTTCAAGACAACTTGGAAATAAAGACAACAGGCAAACAGTGAGTAGAATGGTAACTGTCCAGCAGTCACTTACCAGGCTCACTTGTACTGCAGTGGAAAAACAGAGGCTGGCAGAGGGCAGAGGCACATGTAAATACTTAGGAGGACCATGTGTATATTGCTAACTAGAAAGATTTACATTCTTTTTCTTGTTGCCCTCCTACATGGCTGAGGGTGACTTTGAACTCTTGGTTTTCCTGGCTCCACCTCCCAAGTGCTAGGATCACAGGCATGCATCACCATGCCCACCGCACAGTTATTTAAGCAGACCTATTTGAAGGTAGTTTCCAAGTTTCTCACAAGGTTCATATCTACTAGAATTTGAGGGTGTTCCCAGAAGTTCTAGAGTTGGGTGTGGGACCTAGGAGGAAGGGTTTGGTTCATGGGAATGGAACGATCAACAGATGGCTAGTTTTCATAAAGGAATGCGTTCATGATCATGAGAGCTCGGCTTCCTGTCTCTTCAGCTTTCCCGTCACAGCTGAAGTAGTGTGTGGTTCTGAGCAGATGTGGCTGTCCAGTCTTAGTCTTCCCAGCACTCAGAACCATGAGCCAAAAGATACCTTTTTTCTTTGTAGAGTATCTAGTTCCATGTATTGAGCTATAGTGATGACAGTAGACTACAGGCTTCCAAATGGTTTTGCCATTTAATAGTGGTCACTCATTTGATTCCAGTTTAAGTGTAAATCTCCTTGGTTCAGAATTGAAACTCAGATTCTGTTACTAATTGTGAAGCTTAATGACTTTATGAAATTGTGACAGCAAATTGAGGAAAATTATTCTTTATTGAAAAATACCAATAATACTGACAGACTTCAAAAGCAATTCACGGTTCCAGAATACAAAGTACTTAATACATTTTTCAATGTTTGTATCTCAAAGTTAGCATTTTGTAAATCAAGATACAAATTTGATAACCTCACTAAAATATTTTCCAGCTTTATTCTGTAAGGAGATGCACCGCCTTCAAAGTCAGGGTCAGGAGGTCAACAGGAGCTCCTGGACTGTGCAGCAGTGTGCAGCAAGATTTTCCACATTTTCTGCACAAGACAGCTGCCCTCCAGGGCCAGAAAATCTTGGGAAACAGCATATCAAAAGATAGCCCATTTTTCTTATAAACCACACACTTTCATTGTAAGATTGCTCTTTGGAGAAAATCTTCTAAGAATGCCACGGTAATATCATCCAATAACTGAATTTTAAAAACTATCATGAAAGAAACTGTCTGTTACCATCATCATGGTCTTTGCTGAGCTGTGAGTAACAATTCTATGCCTGTTTAGATGCGAGAAACAAAGAACGTGTACAAGTTTAATAGAAAAACCACACAGGGTATGTACGTAGGCTCAGGGAGTAGCAGTGCTCACTTTAATCACTAGTAGCTTAGTTGGAGCAGCCACACACTCACCCCCAGCCAAAGCAGCACCGAGAGCTGCTGGATTCCTCACGTATAAACTTAGTACCCAAGTCCCAGTCTTACACACTCCAAGTCTTGTTATCTGTGATATCAGAGCAACAGGCTTTGGAGAATTACTAGTTGCTGTACTGAAACAAGTATACAGCATCCTGTACTGTCAAAGAGCAAACACTGTGACCAGCAGCCTTTCCTCACAGCTCTAACGCTGAAGCTGCCAAGCATCCACTGCTAGACAAGCAGTGGTATCCCACAGTAAAACAGCAGACACTACAGGAATCATGGCACAACGGATTTCTGAATTCTTTTTATCTACCATTGGTCCTGGGGCTGGGTTCCAGCCCCTTGTAGACTACACTTGCCGTTCATTCCAGGATCATGTTGAAGGAGGAGAGGATTCAGGTCATATAGCGGGTAATGGCTCTCAGAGCATACAGGAGCTCTGCTTGCATCCGAGCTTCTATAAGAAGCAGATTAACATGAACCTGAGTATAAAACACAACATCATGTAAGAACAGATTATAAACACCACAGTTTTTCAGTGCATTCAATTCAAAAAATGTCCCAAATAAGTACAGTATTTATCCCTGGATATGATGGGGAACTGGTTTCAGGATTCTCCTTGGATACCCCAGTCCCTGGATGTTCTAGCCCTCATTTTAAACAGCACACTATACACAAGACACACAATGCACAGTTTCCATTACTACAATGTTAATGCCACAGAATAGTTGTCATGCTGTCTGGGGAATGACGACAAGCTACTGGTATGTATTTGGCACAAATAAAATCGTTGTGACTCTTTGTGATCCTCAGCTGGCTCAATCTATGGATGCAGAACTATGACCTTGAAGGGCGAACTGTATATTCTATGTGCTACCAAAGCACTTAAGTCTTCATTTGTTAGCACAGTATCAGACTTCTTTTTGGGATAAATTAATTATTCTATTTACATTTGACTGCATGTCTTCAGGATATTTGTTATAGTTCAGAAAATCTGGGGACTGCTCTGTCTGACTTTTAGAATTTCCTGCCAAACCATCAATTTCTGGAAAGATGCTTCCAAGAGAACCCATTTCTGCCCATGACCACTTTTTAAAAGATCTTGCAAAATGGTTTTGGGTGGAGACAGCTAGGCCAGATTTCTGAGGACAGACCGGCCCACTTGTTTATTCTTGCACTTCTCATGATATGGGCCTCTTTCAAGGGGTTCCTGAGACAGGCATTCTGGAAGGATGTTTTTCAGGCTGTAGAGATGATGGAATGAGTTGGAGAGCCACTAGATTATGTGAAGGAGTGTAATAATCACTGTGAATTACAAGGTGACCCAGCCACTTTGAGTGAGCATATACCTACCTTCTCAGAGTGCTTGAACTGCCTCCAGAAGCTGTCATACATTCTTTTAGTAACCTTCTCAGGAGTGCAGACAACAGTTTTGATATAAACTTTAAAGCTACGGTCCAAGAGCTGGTTAATTTCACCATAGTCATAGTCATCGTATCTGTTAAAAGACAAAAGAATGGACTACCGTCAGTGTATAATCTCATTTCTATGTGCAGCACACATTTATGGAAACACTACTTTTTTCCTCATCATATGGGAAGTTAGATTCAGAAATGATAAGGCTTTACGGTGTTAAAATGGGGTGGATGGAAAAGCAAAAAGGAAGAAGTTAGGAAGTCAGAAGTTTTCAGGTGCCAAGCAGACCATTCCTATAGTGAACAGTACTAAGGTTGCAGCACTGGGTACCAAGCAATGGCATAGTCACAATCTCCAACACACAACCATGTTGAAACCAACTCTGAAAAGAGCACAGATGAGTGTTGAAATTAAGAATTTATATTTACTGCCGTTACTTTTACACACCATAAGACAGCAATTTGTGTAAAAGTTTCTGGGGTCAGATGAGGGAAAAGTCACAGGTGGGTGGGGCAGGAGGGCTGGCTGGTCTCTCAGAATCTCATGGTGTCACTTTTAGGAGAGGCTGAGATGTCTGACATGCAGCAATGTCTGATCCAACCACTAAATCCTGGGCTTCAGATCATACAGGCATGCAAGTTACCTACTGTATTTTCAGTGAAAAGGGGAAAGTTCTTGGCAAAGCTGGTCCTAAAGCCATCCAAGGAGGCCATAGTCAACAGTCTGGGCACTCATTAGTAGAAAATAGTTTAAAACTGGTTGGATGTACTTTAAAGGCCTGAGCAGTGTAAATTAAAGAGAGCTTGTAGGTCTCTGATAAAACAATACACGAGAAAGCAGATTTATTGGATAAAATATCCAGAAAGTCATGCAGTATGGGATTTGTTTATGAGAAGGTAGCACATGTTTATGTTTTTCTATGAACACGGCATGTTGGAAACCTAACAGGACTGAGGGAGTTCCAGGTACAATAGGAGATGGTACTATTCAGAGGGGCTGGATTCCAAGAAATATGAATGCCCAGAGACAGAAGATGACACACAGATGATCAGTGACCAACTCTGTTTCCTATCTATGTGCTGGGACCAGCTTGCTTGCTCTTCCTTCTCGAAGTCAGTTGTGATTTATCAAATCCTTATCTTTGCCCTCACCTGTCTAGCTAAGAGAGAGTGAAAACCCCAAGCCCTGGTTCTGTGTGCGTGTGCACTGCAGGCATCCCAATACTCCTGTGTAAAGGAAATGTCTTTAGAAGCATAAGGACACAGACTCACCGTATCCCAAACATGCAGTGAATATAGTTCCAGATAGCCCGTCTGAGCATTGAGGTATCGACATCTTTGTGCATTGCCATTGTATTGTAAGTAAGATTGTAAGCAATGTGAAATTTCTCGTCAATTAACTGTCCCACATCTGGATAAAGACGATTTACCAGAGAATAACCATGGTCTTCCCAGCAGTAGTCCTAAACACAGGGAAGACAGGAATTATGAATACTTTAAACATGGCAAAACAGCACTGCAGCACATGAGGTCACCGGCAGCTGGAATCTGTACGCTGACTTTGAACTCAGTCTCCTTGGCGCTGTAGTTCATTCTCAATTTCCATGTTGCAATGAAAGAAAGGTTATGAATTGTAATTTGGTCAAGTTTAAGAACCAAGGGAGCCACAGATTTTCAGCTTTCTCCAGCTTTCTACCTAGTTTCGAGGCAACACAGGTTAAAGTTCCTCTCCTACGTAGCATCACTGCAGACATGCCAATGTTCCTTGAATTTTGTAAATTTCTAAGCCAGCTATGGTAGCTAATGCCTATTATCTGAATATTTGGAAAGATGAAGCAGGGAGACCAAAAGTTAGAGACCATCGTGGACTATATAATAAGACTATGTCACAAAACAAAAGCGAAAAAAAAACCTAGTTCCGTATATCCACCACTCATCCTCCTCATCGTCTCCCCCATTAGCCAAGCCTTCTACTTCCTTCCCTATACAGTCTTCTTGATGCCTGTCTCCTGCCAGCTTGCTCCTGCATTTTCCTGGAACATCTCTTCTGACATTATGCCACAATGCTCTGTCAATGCCCATTCAACTTACTGTAAACTGAGTCAGCACTTAAGGCATCCTCACCAGGTTAAAACTTCTTCCCACCAATGGCAGCAGGAAGCCTCCTTCACAACTCTCAGTATTCAGTCTCTTTGCAACCTTCACTGGATACCTCAACCAAGATTAAACTAGTTCTAACTCTCTTGCTATGATATAAGCCCCCCGCCCTCCCTGTGATACCTGTGCAGCCCCAGGACTCGCACTCTTGGAAAAGCACCCAGCACTGAGGGGCATCCCAGCTGCCCCCACCTTTCACATTCTCATCTCTCTCCAGGAAAATTTTAATACAAAATAATCCGTTCAATTCTGAATTTATTATATTTCATTACAGCTCAACTCCTCCTTGTGCCTAAATTTTGTCTTTTTAAGCACAATTTTAGTTTGGGTGGGAGCAAAGAAGAAAAAAAGTCTGAAAGCTCAACTAGTTTCAGAACTCTAATAAAAGAAGTTATTAGTTAACACTGGCCTGTAAGGGCTAATTGGGCAAGTTGAGAGTATAATTTGCCTGCTTCATATTTACCTAAATATTCAACAATAAACTTAAGACAGACATTAAGCTATAGCATGATTCTGCTGATCAACTGGAAACTTCACAAAATTAAGAGTGCAGAATAGATAATCTTCCATGTTGGCACCAGAGGAGAGAGCTACGCTGCTCTGTCTATGCCACCTGCTAAGCACTGAACACACTCCTGAAGTCCAGGTGGCTTTTTCACATAATGTCACAGTGAGAGGTTTCTAAACAGTTATGTTATGCAAGTTACAATTTTACCTGGACACGAAATGTTGGAACATGCATCCCATGTCTAGAGAAATCCTTATAGCCATAGCTAGTGTCCTCAAAGTGCCGAGATACATCTCTGGCTGGTGTAACTTCATCATCATCTGAAATGATTTTGTTAAAAAAAAAAAAAAAGTCTTTTAAAAGCTTTTGAAAACAAGATGCTAATTCATTTTTTACCCATCATAAATAAGTGTGAGATGTATTTTCCTGCTCCATCCTGAGTGCTGGGATTAGAGGCATGTGCTACATGACTGGTTCACATGGTGCTGGGGGTGAAACCCAGGGCTTTGGGTATGCTGAACAGTCTACTGATTACACCCCCAACCCACAATAAAGTCTTAATACAAACAATTAGCTTGTTTACCACAAAAAAGAATGTAGTAAAAACAAGAATCTCTGTGATAAAACAAACACTCATAGGATTCTGCATGGCTTTTATTTCCTTTTTGATTGACCCTTCTCCCTCAGTTTTTCTTCTCTAATTTATTCATTTTAACATCCTAAAAGTATGGATTCTAAGTTAAGAACACCCCATTTGGATAACATTTAAGATAACCAAATCATCTCTGGAGCTGGTGAAATGGCTCAGTGGGTAAAGGCATTTGCCACCAACCTCAACATCTCGAGTTTAATCTATGGGAGCTGCATGGTGGAAGGAGAGAGCCAATTCCTGACACCTGTCTGACTTCAGCATGCTTGCTGTGGCATGCGCACACCCTGCCAACCCTTCCCAACATAAAATTAAAAAAGAAAATGGAGAGTGCCAGTATATCCATGACTGATGCTCCACCCTTACTCTAGTGCTATCTGCACTCCCTACCCTTTCTCTGCTGCCTTCCTTAAAAACTACCTGTGAGTGGGAAAATCTATGCAGGAGCCTTCCTGAAAGGACACATTGGGTCTGCTTTTTAAGACTTATAGAAACTCTATAGAAACAAGTTGGGCTTGTATGGGAAGCTCTATGGCCATGCTCAGGATGGCTCTCACCTGAAGAGAAGACAAGCATGCTCTCTCTCTTCTCTATTTCAAACCTCGATGCCATCTCCTCCTGGCTGGCTTCCTCCTCATCTCGACATTCTTGTAACTGCTTCATCTTTTCCATGAGGGCTTCAACCTCAAAGAAGGAATCGCTTACCTGAAGAGAAGTACTGTTTATGTTACAGATGGCAGGCACAGAATGAAATTTAGGAATTTCATTAAGTCTGTCTCATAAAAACCTTTATCTTACCAAAATATAGTAAAAATAGATTTTCTTATAATTTTAATGTACATTAGTAAATGAAATTGTTTTAGCCTATGGGCTATAGAAATATTTAAATTTTAAGATTTAAGAGAGAAAAACATTTCAATGAATTATAATGCTTTTTAAACCTTAAAAATAATAATGCAATCAATACTTATATTGTTTTAGAGATTAAAATTTAACACTGTTAATTTAAAGTAAAAAGGGAAATTTAATATTTAAAACTTAGCTTCTACTTACTCAGATAAATAAGATACACAGAGTACATACTGTCTCATGTCTATCATTTTTAAAATAGTAATTGTTCTATTTATACAGCTTACCAATTAAAAATGAGACATGTCCTCACATGGCTGGAGTGGGCCAGCTGACCTCTGTGACTGGGGGTAGCAGCTGTCACTTTCTGGGATGACTACAACAGAGTCTTATCTACAGTGCCGGGTGATGGCACAGGAATGGCTAAGTAGATAAATGATTTACACTCCTGTAACCCTACTGCATCTTTACCCTAAATCTTTCTATCTACTCTGTCCAGTGTGATAGTGCAAACTACACACCTTCTATTGGCTCACTGTCCAGTGTGATAGTGTAAACTATACACCTTCTAAAAGATCCAAATTAAAATCTGGGTATAGGGAGCTGTTGAATTAGAAAAATAAAACCCTCTACTTTTTACTGTTATTAATAGAAAACAACCAAGAAAATTCAGAAACTTTACTTTAGCCTGGTACTAAGACCCTGTGAAAGGATAATTGACCCCCAAAGGGGTTGTAACCCAAAGACTGAGGACCTAGCATCTAGACTAGGGATGGGCCGAAATAAATTCATCCTTAAAACACAGATCTAGCAGGGCAATGGTGGGACAGCCCTTTGGTTCTAGCACTTGGGAGGCAGAGGCATGTGGATCTATGTTAGTTCGAGGCCAGCCTGGTCTATAGAGCCAGAGAGGGCTACACAGAGAAACCCTGTTTTGAAACAAAAAAAGATCTAATATCTCTAAGGATTTAACAGGACAGGGTTTTGAATAAGCCAGATGGGGGAAAAAAGTAACAATTATAGTAACCAGTCTTATTACAATCTCATAACCAGTAACACTTACTGAAATATTTCCTGCTGAGTTGACTTGCATCTCATCCACGTTGTGATTGCCATTCGTAATGTCACAGAAGCAGTAGTTACTAACAGAAGGAGGTCTGAAGGTGTGGCCACCATCACAATGAATTTCTGGACTAATTCCACAGCCAAACGTGAATGAGGCAAGAGAATGATAGTGTGTGAGTAGAACCACAGCATGGACCAACTCTGCGAGAGACCAACTGTGCTCTTCAGCTTTCAAAAGCCCCTGGCAGACGAGAATGGATTTTTAATTTGAGATATGTGGTAAAAGCATAGTTCATTTTAGTATTTAAAAACTGACTTTAAACAGGACTAGATACCATACAAAGCCTGGTTAAGATTACAATTTAAGATGTATAAAACCTATAATTTGTTATATTTTTATTAAAAATCTATTTAGAAATATGAGCTTAACATCTACTGGCACACTGCCACTTTGAATCTCTGAAATAACTGATTTTAAAATGTAATAAGATTCTATTTTGCTTACAGTCTGTTGCTACACTTCAAATGTTGGATAAGAATGAATCACATGTTGTAAGTGAAAATACAGTGTTTGTGTTACAGTGGACACCACTGTTGGAAATGTTTGTTTTTTATTTAATCCAGGCCTCTTAGAGGAACTTTTAAAGACAAAGGCTTGAGCAATTTCATTCTAAAGATTCTTAAGTTCTTGATTCTGTTTTTTAGTAAAGTTATGCATAAATCCTACAATTCTTCAAACTCAATTATGTCCCAGGTGCTTGTATTATCTATTTTATAACCTTGTGTGCCTTTTCTTGCAATCTAATAGGTACTATATTAATCATACTCAAACATTACACCTTCTTGACAATTTCTTCTATTATGTAACAGTGTCTAAAATGTCCTTTACCACAGATGGACAACACTGAAAATATGTTTTAAGTATTTCTATCATGTGGTACACATTTTCAGAGAAAGCTGATTTTTTTTAAATTCTAGAATCAGAACTAGTTTAAGACATCACTGACAAATAAGGATGAATATGATGCCACTTCACACCTGTAAGAACAGATGAACTCTAAAACACTGGCCACAGCTGGCAAAGATGAGGGACAGCCGGAATGAATCACTGGAACAGCCCTTTGGAAGACAGTGTTTGTGTCTTCCAAAGCACAGTGGCTTATTGTGCAATCCAGGAGTCACACACCTACTTACTTACTCAAGTAGGCTGAGAACTTTTGTCTACCAAAGTGTTTACATATGAATATAACAATTTTATTCATTCTGGTCAAAACTGGTACTTATCAGGAGGCCCCTTAAGTACATGAATGGGAGTATCATTCAGCAATAAAAATAAATGACCTATGAAGTCATTTTAAAAAGATAAGGACCAGATGAGGTAGCTCATATCTGTAGTCCCAGCACTCCAGAGGGTGAGGCAGGAGGATCAAAAGTTCAAGGCCAGCTTGGGCTACATAGTAAGTTCCAAGCCAGCCTTGATTGCATAGCAAGATTCTCTCTGAAAACAAACAAAAAATACTCAAGTGAAAAGAAAACCTCATATGCATATTGCTAAATGAGAGTCAGTCTGCAAGGTTCTGTACTATATGATTCTAACTATATGATATTCTGGAAGTGGTACACAGTAGACATAAGTAGAGGTCAGCCATTGTGGAGGCTCAGGAGGAAGCATGACACAGTGACTGCTTACTATTTTGTACTGAACAGCAATGGTGACATGTTGTCATGCCCTTACAGAGAGCAGATCCTAGTGAGAACTGTGGACTTTAGATAACAGCAGTACATCAACACTGGCTCATCACTCACACGTAAATGTACCACACAAAGTCCACAGGATAATAACACAAAAATGTGTGTCTTCGGATTTTCTATCTGACTTCCCTTTTCTCCCCCCCTTACTTTATCTTTCCTTGTTTCTTTGAGACTGGGTCTCACTTTTCCAAGGCCAGCTTCAAACTCTTTGTGTAGCTGAGGATGACCTTGAACCCTGGATCCTCCTTCCTTCTTTTCCTATCTCCCCAGTGCTGTGATTACAGGCTTGTTCCAGCAAGCCCAATCTATGCAGCGCTAAAGAATGAAGCTAGAGCTTTGTGCATGCCAGACAAGCAATCTCCCACCTGACCCACACCCCCAACTCTCTATCCAGTTTTCTTACAAACCCAGAACTGTTCTAAAAAGCAGTATCACTTTTACAAAACACAACACCGAAGGTGTGCTATTTCACTACATACATACCTCGATGTGTTCTTTGGTAATGAGCCAAGGCCTGTGAGCTAATACTTTGTTAAGTTCTCCTAGATTTTGTAGTTTTTGAGGTGCATTCTCTAAACCATTGAGCCACTTGGGGTCCCCACCAACATGAAGGAAGTCATTTACATGTAGATTCACTAGGTAGGAACACTGATGCCTTGCTGCCGCCTTCACAAAAAATAAAAAGACATAAGTATGTTAAAAGTTTGCACTACTTCAAATCTGTTTTCTTTACAATATACAAAATGTTTTTTGAGTATTCTGCTTTAAGTTTTCCAGACTACAGAAACACAGATTTTATTTAGAAATTTTAAAAATTCAAATATACCATTGAAAACATCTCAGAAATATTTCAATAACAAAATATTGCTTAAAAAATGGGCTTTAGGAAAGTTGCCTCTGTGCCAGCTTTCAGTCCCTCAGACTAAGGAGTGTGTGAGGGTCTTCACTTTAGTTGAACTGTCAATCATAAAATGACAGGTTATTATACACAAACTGAACAGGCTTACCACCAGATATGTCAACTTAAACCATTCATAACAAGGCTATGATACCAGCACTTGAGAGATGGAGGCAGGAGTCCCAGGAACTCATGGTCACCCTCTGCTACATAGCAAGTGTGAGACCAGTCTAGGCCACATCAGACTTTTGCCAGAGAGAGAGAAAGAGGGAGAGGGAGACAGGAGAGTGGGAAGGAGTGCTTACGTCTTTATGTTATGCTTTTTTTTTTTTTTTCCCAAGACAGGGTTCCTCTGTGTAACAGCCCTGGGCTGTCTTGGAACTCACTTTAACCTCTAAGAAAGAATGGTTCTGGATCAGCAAGACAGTCGAGTGGTTAAAGGCACCTGGCACTAAGCCTGACGACCTAAGTTTAATCCCATGGTAGTTATAAGAGAACTGACTCCTTCAAATTGTCTCTCACACAGACAAATGCAATAAAATTTAAAGGAATAGTTCTTAGAATTATATAAAGCTACATGCAGTATACTTATACTTGAAAGCATACTTATTTAAAACCAGGAAAATTACAAGCTATCTGGTAAGAATATGATTACAAGTCAGAATATAAGTATTTATCCTTGTATCAAAAGCATTAACTCTCTTAAAGAAAATCAACAAAAACAGGCAGAAAGAATTTTTCATTATATGTCTACAAACCATTATTCCAATGTAGTGCCGGTAATGGAGGGGTAATGGCCCATCCATTTGCAGTAGATAGTGTTGAGTTTTTAAGAAACTTTCTAAATATTGTGGATGGAAAACCATCACTAATGTAATGTTATCCAAACGACCCAAAGCAGCAAAGGAATCTGCAAATAAAGCATGCATCTGTGCGTCTTCACTCCCCACTTGCAGGATCTGTGTAAATGAAAGGAAACTACAGTTACATAAACTACAAACTGGTGTTAAAGAAAATATGAATGGGCTACATTGTTCCATTTAGAAGTAGATTAAATTTTACTTAAGAGGGGGGTTATGAATTTAAACTTGTAGCAAAACAGAAGAATAGTTCCATTATATGGTGGGGGATAAACAACAAAGGCTGAACTGAACTTTAGTCAAAGGGTATCTAGATAGGCTGCTTACAGACTTGACAAGCACCCAGGTCAAGAAGCAGATTTAGATTGCTAAACCCAGACCTTGCAAGCAGACACTGAAACCTTTCTTTATAAGACTACCTTCATTTAATAAAAGAGAACCGCAACTAATAGCAAATAGTTCTTATGACAATAAAGCATTGATGCTTCTACATTTGTAGAACTAAAGGTGGAGTACCAACCTGTGGAGATGGGCAAGACTGAGCACCTCTGTTTCCAAGCTTACCTAGGCAGGAGCTAAATATAAGCGAATGGAGGACGAGTCAAAAACAAGTCTCAGTTTTACTTGATTAAATACGGGTGCTGAAAATGCATCATGAAATACTAGAAATCAGTATGACTATGACAGCTTTCTAATCCCATAAACTCAGTGCCAAAGCATGACTAATTCTGAATAACCGTGTAAAACATGTTGTTGACCAGCAATCATTTGGATGCCAAGATGTAGGTCATGAAAATGTTTCCTTAAAAGCAGGCAGTTCACTGTGTACTTTCAAAACAGCATACCTCCTTCTCTGGGATGAACCTGCTTGGTCCATGTCCTAGTGGCCGAGGAATTCGGATTCCAAGTTCCTAGAAAAGAAAATTACACCATCTCAGGCCTCCAGCAGTAAACACCACAAACTGTGGCTAAAGGAACAAGAGGGAAAACGGCCAGTTCAAAACAAACAGGCTTGCTATAGGCATTTCTTCTCAGGGCTATATATACACACCAGTTATTTGCATCACACAGCTAACACCTTATAATATGACTGACTAAAAACAATACAACCTGTTCCACTAAAACCAGAGTTTTGCATAAAGCACTTGGCAGAGAGTCTAGAACAGAAAGTTCAGTACACAGCAGCCAACCTTGTGGGCTGTCAGTGATACAAAACAAGACCAGTGTGTTTGTACATCCAACTCACCAGAAGCATCATTCCCTGTACACCTTGCCAGGAAATACAAAAAAAAAAAAAAATGCCTTCATATAGACATCTTAAACAGGAAGACAAGCAATTGTTACTATATTGATATTAACACCTCGAAGTAAGCAGAGAAGTTATGACATGTAAAAACTAGTTAGCTAAATTCACAAAAGAGAAAGGACTATCATGAGGTATGCATTCTCTGTGGTGGAGTGAAACTACTTCAGGAAAACTAATTTTGTTTCTAAGTTTGTTTACCTTGTTAACTTCTTCCTTTAGACACAATCTAGAATTCTTTCTCTTTCACTGACAGAGTAGTATGGGTAGGACCTCCTCTCCCAGGACAATGGTCTTAGATACTATATCAAAATAACCATTGAAGATTAATCCTTATTTATACAATTACATTACATACAAATACTATTTTTGTTTAGATGAAGATGGAGCTTGGGACCAAGCATAAAACCTGAGTTCCATCCCAGAACCCACATGGTAGATGGACAGATTCACTGTTGCATGAACACACACACACACACACACACACACACACACACACACCCCAAAAACAAACAAGCAAAACCATTTCTACTGTCCCTACTGTTTCTAAAAGTTCATTATATAAACCAGATACTGCTGATTCCTGTTCTGTGTACGTATACATGTCTCCATGTGTGAACCTGGTCGAGTGTGTATCACACAGCATGTGTGAGGACAGAGGACAACCTTAGGTGTTGGTCCTTGCCTTCCCCCTTGTTTGAGACGGGGTCTCTTGTTTTTCCACTGTGTGCTAGGTAGGCTAGCTGGCCCTTGGGCTTGTGGGGGGATTTCTGTTTTTCCCTTCTGTCTGCTGGTATTACAGATGTTTGCACTATGCATCCAGCTTTTACATGGGTTCCCAGGATTTGAACTTAGATCCTCACACTTACAGGGTGAATGCTTTTACCCACTGAGCCATCTCCCCAGCACAGCTGCTTTGCTTTTAAGAAGAACTGGGAGGGAACAGAGAATTCAAGAAATTTGGGCTAAGTGAATGAAAAACTTTTGAATATAATGGGTTTTAAAAAACTCAGGCAGGGCTAGAATTGTAGCTTAGTGCTAGTGCTTGTCTAGTGTAAACCTGCTATCCTAACACTTGGGTAGTGAAGGCAGGATGATCAGAAGTTCAAAGTCATCCTCAGCTACACAGCAAGTTCTGGTATTCCCCTCCTACCCTCAAACAGCAGGCAGGATAAAAGATCTTTATTAGGAGAACCCAAAGCAGACTATTTGCCAACTGAATCTATGATGTATTAGTTGTATTGTATATATTAAGTCAAATTTTCTTGGACACTGGCTTCTTACTGTGGCTATTTCACACAATGAAGATAGTGTGTAACATTATACTCATCTGAAGTGACACTTCACTAGTCTGGTCATGTAGTGTCTCAGTTTTAACAATGTATAATAAATTCTAGAAGAGAATTTATTCCTCTTGAAACAAATGTAGCTGTTTATACAAAACAATCACCCCATTAGCCTAACTTCTAACTCTGACCAAACTGTATATATGTTAAACAATATTCACTGGGAAAAAGTACAAAGCTGAGCCCAACATTTATCCTTACCCTTTCCCTCATCTTATAAATTATCTAAAAATGTATATTTAGGGCTTCAAGGGTTTATTATTCCTCTTGAAACTCAGACACAAACTATTCAATACATATAGGACTTCAAGATAGCAAAGGGTGTCATTTGCAAATAGATTATATGACAAATGATTTTGGGACAATTGGTAGTCACTCAGGAAAAAAAGAAAAAAGAAAAAAGGAAGTTACAGCCCTAAGTCTTATTTTAATCTACAATAAATCAGAGTTAAACATGAAAAAAACAAAATAGTTCTAGCAACTGTTTGTGGAGTGAAATAGACCCAGACCAGGGCTACATATGGAGATCCATCTTAAAAAAAAAAAAAAAAAAGAAAAAAAAAGAAAGAAAAAAGTACATTTTCTAATAGTCCTAAGTAATTCTTTTCTTCTTCCTCCTCCTCCTCCTCCCCTTCCTCTTCCTCCTCCTCCTCTTCTTCTTTTTTTTTTTTTTTTGAGACAGGGTTTCTCTGTGAAACAGTCCTAGATGTCCTGGAACTCACTCTGTAAACCGGGCTGGCCTCCAACTCGCAGAGATCCACCTGCTTCTGCTTCCTAAGGCTGGGATTAAAGGCATGTGCCATCACCACCAGGAGTAAATCTTAAGCTTATAAAATGAACTCCACTCTTTTAGTCACATTTAGTGCCCATGTTGAAACCACTTTTTTCTTTCCCCCCTAAATCTTCAATGGCCAAGGAAATGTCCTTGATTCCACTAGAAATATTTTCTGCAAGGGTAAAAAACTATTTAAAAACATTAAGGAAAAGGAAGACAAAAGGGAAATAATCACACAAAGGGGGGGGGAAGCATTCCTTGGGATAGGTTAGATGCACACTGCACAGTAATGTTAGTATCAGGAGAGCTCGGACAGAAGAACAAGAAACCAAGACAGACTGTACAGTAGCCCTGACACCCAAGACACTTTCTTCATTGTGTATCCATGTCTAGTTCCAGGTGGGACAATTTCATTCAGCCCGCATCTGAATTACCAGATGATTCCCGGAGAACCCAAGAGATTGGGGCTGTGCAGCTCACAAAAGCAGAAAGAGAAATGACAGAGAAAAGGGATGGGAGGGTCAAAGGTGGGAGAGCAGAGAGGGAGACAGATGCACTCATCAACTCTTCCTCGACAGAGAAGGGTGATTGAGACTGACATAATGAGAACCATGGCTGCCTCTATTCTAGGATGAAATATATTTACTCTCCTTGTTAGGAGGCTAGGCTTGAAAGATGGTAGACTTTCAAGCTAACAGACTAGGTACATGACAGAGATACAAGGACATGACACGAACTTTTCTACTTAATTTTATGTCCATCAGAAAACAGAGGGCTGATCATCTGGTGTGTTACCCCAATTAACTTAGACCAGGTACAGACAGGAAGGTGACTGGATTTATTCAGCATCCCAACACAAATTAAACTCTGAGAAAGGTAAACTGGTGACAGTTTCCTTAGACCATCCTACAGGACCTGTTCTCACTGCGCTTGTATAAAGACTCCTCATCTTGGAAAACCAGGAGTAGAGTGTGCCAGTAGAGCACACATTGGCATGATGGCTTAGTGAGAAAGTGCTCAGCCAGCATGTTCAAGGCCCTACATCTGATCCCCAGCAGGACCAAGTATCTTCATGCATCGTGTCCCGAGAAGGAAGTACAGAGCGGTTAAGAGGGTTTGGGCCAAAATAAGGACTTTTGTTTGATAAGTTTGTAATTCCCAATGAAAGCATTAGGTTGACACGTCTAATGTGTAAAATAAGGATGATGAGGAAGAAGATAAAGCAACAATAGTCCAATCCCTCACAACTACCTCATGTTATATAACAGAATAGTTTACAAAGCTCTTGAGGAAGTGTGTGTGTGTGTGTGTGTGTGTGTGTGTGTGTGTGTGTGTGTGTGTATGTTCACACATATCAGGAATGTCTGAGAATCAAACTGCTTTTTAGTTTTCTGCTTATTCCCTAACTGATATAAACAGACAAAAAACAATCTCAAGCTAAGTATGTTAATAAAAAATTAAGAGCAGCAATCACAGTTCATAAAGTATTAGGAATCAAGTTTTAAGTACTATTATTCACAAACAAGGGACACATAATTTATGATATTAAAACCTAAAAATGTATATTTTTTAATCCTCATGAAAAAGAAGTCAAAGTCTTTAATGCTTTATCAGTCTGAGAGGCTAAGTCAAACTGCATTTTTCTAGCTTCCTAAGTAGATTATTCCAATTATTTTTTCCTTCTATAGTTGTGAGAACTCAACTAGACTCTGATCAGATCTTACAACCCAGATCCTAGGAGGCAGAACTGCCAAGAACAAATGGCTGTGTTGAAAAGCAGTTGCAGATGTTAATCAGCATAAACCTCTCACACGTTCTCTGGGAAGGTGTGGCTGGAAAAGCTAACATGAGAACTAAGAATCCCCACCCCTCAACAGTGCTAATGACCATCTTTGAAAGAGCTGACCCGTCTCCTCATAAATGTATGATACCAACAAGTTTCAAAATATGGACATTCTTAGTGGCCTTGACAGTGCCACAGAAACAGTATGGACTGTACCAGTGTGTGAACAGTATGTACTGTATGAACAGTGCTTGTAATGACAGCACTTTCCTAATCACATGCTTCACTTTGCTAAAGACTTATGTGCAGACCTCCATCAGTCTCCTTAAGAATGAATGATTGGCTACAAATGTAAAACTGAAGAATTTGTTCACTTACGAAGTATCAATCTACCTCCTTGAAAAATTAGGTAAAAATAAGTAAATTATTTGCAGCATTTTTGTACACTTGATGCATTAAAAAATCCCATCTAGATATTTTAGAATATGACTTATAATCACAACACTGATGTCACTTGTTTAAAAAAATTACACAAGTAGAAATGGTATTTCAACAGGTCAAAGAAAGCAAAAAATCTTATAAATAGTTAAAGTCTGTATTCTCCCTCTTCTGGGAGAATCCTTGTCTATATAGCATAATGTGGACTTCTTACTATCAAAAAATTTCAGGAGAAAGGAGGAGAACTGCAAGTATTCACATTTAGA